GAAGCAGCGCCAAAGGGTGCTCTCCGTCAGCCCCCGCCTTGTGTGGAGCTTGTCGGGGAGCCAGAGGAGCTAGACGTGGAACCACGACTCCAGGACGGCCCAGACCTCTCGAAGACGATTCACTTACCCTCAAGGGAGCCAAGGAACCCAGCTGCCATGACATGCTGTGCGGTATTGCGTTCTGCGCCGCTGTGCGATGCCATGCTTTGCGTTGCAATGCTTTGTGATGCAATGCTTCACTGCGCAATGCCACGCCATGCTATGGCATGCTACGCTCTGCCGTGCTCTTCGCGTCGCGTACCCTCTCGCGATCATTGCCCTGTTCGACATGTGACTGTGCGAATAGAGGGAAGATTTACGCCATGGTGAGGGCTGACGCGAGCGCACCTAGCTTGTCCTCCTCCACCTCCCCCTCCTCCTCCACTTCCTCCTCCTCTTCCTCCTCCTCCTTTCCCTCCTCCCTCCTCCCTACACCCCCCGCACTCCTCCCTCCCCCCTCCTCCCTCATCCCTCCCGACTCCTCGGTGGGACAAGGAGGAGACGCCGCCGCCGACGCGAGAGGAGGCGCGAACGGAGGCCAGCGGAGAGGCAGAGGCGCTCTTCAATGAAAACGCTGTCGTTGCCGCCGCCGCCGCCGCCATCGCCGTCGCCGTCGCCGCGGCCACCGACGACACTCTCGAGCCACTCGGGCCTCGCCGTCGCCGTCGCCGTCGCCGTCGCAGTCGCCGTCGTCGTCGTCGTCGTCGCCGTCGTCGTCGTCGTCGTCGTCGTCGTCGTCGTCGTCGTCGTCGTCGTCGTCGTCGTCGTCGTCGTCGTCTTCGTCGTCGTCAACGTCGTCGTCGTCGTCGTCGGCGTCGGCGACGCCGTCGCCGTCGTCGCCGTCGTCGCCGTCGCCGTCACCGACGCCGTCGCCGTCGCCGTCGCCGTCGCTGTCGCTGTCGATCCGCCGCCGCCGCCGTTGCTGCCGCCACAGCTGTCGTCGGTGTCGTCGTCGCCGCCGCTGCCGCCGCAGCCGCCGTCGTCGTCGTCGCCGCCGCCGCCGCCGCCGTCGCCGCCGCCGCAGTCGCCGTCGTGATCGTCGTCGTCGTCGTCGCCGCCGCCGCCGTCGTCGTCGTCGTCGTCGTCGTCGTCGTCGTCGTCGTCGTCGTCGTCGTCGTCGTCGTCGTCGTCGTCGTCGTCGTGGTCGTCGTCGTCGTCCCCTCCGCAGAGGCTCTACCTATCTGGTGCATTTTTCGAGTCGATGATCGATCTGTGATGGCCCCGAGGACCGAAACCGAGCGACAACGCAGTGTGTAACAACCGCAGCGCCTGGATCTCAGGGTCGTGTTCGCGGTCGTCGGCGTCGAAATTGCGGCCGCCGCCGCCGACACCACCGCGGCCGCTGACATCCGCCGGTATGTTTTGTTCAATCCGCGCGGGCCCAGAGGTCCCGACCACTTCCCCGAGGTCAGTGTTTCGCCCCGGATCCGTCTGGGATGTCCCCTGGGCCCGACAACGCGCCCCAAAGGCCGACACCGAGGACCAGCGACGGTCGGAGATCTGGGGTCGCCGCCGCCGACGTCGTCGTCGCCGTCGTCGCCATCGACTCCGTCGCCATCAACTCTCTCGAGCAGCACGGGCCTCGCCGTCGCCATCGCCGACGTCGTCGTCGTCGTCGGCGTCGTCGTCATGGTCGTCGTCGTCGTCGTCGTCGGCGTCGGCGAGGTCGTCGTCGTCGTCGCCGTCGTGGAGGTCGTCGTCGTCATCGTCGTTGTCGTCGCCATCGTTGAAGTCGTCGTCGTCGTCGCCATTGTTGTGGTCGCCGTCGTCATCGTCGTCGTCGTCGTCGTCGACATCGTCGCGGTCGTCGTCGTCGTCGGCATCGTCGGCGTCGCCGTGGTCGTCGTGGTCGTGGTCGTCGCCATCGTCGTGGTCGTCGCCGTCGGCGTCGGCGTGGTCGTCGTCGCCGTCGCCGTGGTCGTCGCCGTCGTCGTCGTCGTCGTCGTCGTCGTCGTCGTCGTCGTCGTCGTCGTCGGCGCCATCGGCGTCGTCGTCGTCATCGTCGTGGTCGTCGTCGTGGTCGTCGTCGTCGTCGGCGTCGTCGGCGTCCGGGTCGCCGCCGCCGCCGCCGCTGCCGCCGACGTCGCCATCGTCGTGGTCGTCGTCGTCGTCGTCGACGTCGTCGTCGTCGCCATCGTCGTGGTCACCGTCGTCGTCGTCGGCGTCGCCGCCGTCGTCGTCGCTATCGCTGTGGTCGTCGTCGTCGCCATCGTCGTGGTCGTCGTCGGCCCCGTTGTCGTCGTCGTCGGCGTCGTCGTCGACGTCAAAGCCGTCGTCGTCGTCACCGTCGTCGTGGTCGGCGGCGGCGTCGTCGTTACCGTCATCGCCGCAGCCGCCGCCGCCGCTGCCGCCGACGTCGCCATCGTCGTGGTCGTCGTCGTTGTCGTCGTCGTGGTCGGCGGCGTCGTCGTCGGCGTCGTCTCCGTTGCCGTCGTCGCCATCGTCGTGGTCGTCGTCGTCGTCGTCGTCGACGTCGTCGCCGCCGTCGTCGTCGCTATCGCTGTGGTCGTCATCGTCGCCATCGTCGTGGTCGTCGTCGGCGTCGTTGTCGTCGTCGTCGCCATCGTCGTGGTCGTCGCCGTCGTTGTGGTCGTCGTCGTCGTTGTCGCCGCCGCCGCCGCCGCTGCGAATGACGTCGCCATCGTCGTGGTGGTCGTCGTCGTCGTCAGCGTCGTCGTCGGCGTAATCGCCGTCGTCGTCGTCGCCATCGTCGTGGTCGTCGTCGTCGTCGTCGCCGCCGTCGTCGTCGCTATCGCTGTGGTCGTCTTCGTCGTCATGGTCGTCGTCGTCGTCGCCATCGTCGTGGTCGTCGCCGTCGTCGTCGTCGTCGCCGCCGCCGCCACCGCCGCCACCGCCGTCGTCGCCATCGTCGTGGCCGTCGTCGTCGGCGTCGTCGTCGTCGGCGTCGTCATCGTCGTCGTCGTCGTCGCCGCCGTCGTCGTCGCTACCGTCGTCGTCGTCGTCGTCGTCGTCGTCGTCGTCGTCGTCGTCGTCGTCGTCGTCGTGGTCGTCGTCGTCGTCGTCGCCTTCGTCGTGGTCGTCGCCGCCGTCGACGTAATCGTCAGGGTCGCCGCCGCCGTCGTCGTCGCCGTCGTCGTCGTCGTCGTCGCCGCCGCAGCGGCCGCAAACGCTGCCGCCGTCGTGGTCGTCGTCGTCGTCGTCGACGTCGTCGTCGTCGTCGTCGCCGTCGCTGGCGTCGTGGTCGTCGAGATCGTGGTGTTCGTCGCCGTCGTCGCCATTGTCGTCGTCGTCGTCGCCGGCGTCGTCGTCGCTATCGCTGTGGTCGTCGTCGTCGTCGTGTCGCCATCGTCGTGGTCGTCGCCGTCGTCGTCGTCGCGCCGCAACCGCTGCCGCCGACGTCGCCACCGTCGTGGTGGTCGTCGTCGTCGTCGTCGGCGTCGTTGGCGTCGTCGTCGTCGCCATCGTCGTGGTCGTCGCCGTCGTCGACATCGTCGCCGTCGTCGCCGTCGTCGTCACCGCCGTCGTCTTCGCTATCGCTGTGGTCATCGTCGTTGTCGGCGTCGTGGTCGTCGTCGTCATCGCCGTCGTCGCCATCGTCGTGGTCGTCGCCGTCGTCGTCGCCGCCGCCGCCGCCGCCGCAGCCGCCGACGTCGCCATCGTCATGGTCGTCGTCGTCGTCGTCGTCGTTGGCGTCGTCGGCGTCGTCGCCATCGCCATCGTCGTGGTCGTCGCCGACGTCGCCATCGTCGTGGTCGTGGTCGTGGTCGTCGTCGTCGTCGGCGTCGGCGTCGTCGGCATCGTCGTGGTCGCCATCGTCGTGGTCGTCGCCGGCGTTGCCATCGTCGTTGTCGTCGTCGCCGCCGTCGTCGTCGCTATCGCTGTGGTCGTCGTCGTCGTCGTGGTCCTCGTCGTCGTCGTCATCGTCGTCGGCGCCGTCGTCGTGGTCGTCGACGTCGTCGTCGCCGCCGCCGCAACTGCCGCCGACGTCGCCGTCGTCGTCGTCGTCGTCTTCGTCGTCGGCTTCGTCGGCGTCGTCGCCATCGTCGTGGTCGTCGCCGACGTCGCCATCGTCATGGTCGTCGTCGTCGTCGGCGTCGTCGACGTCGTCGTCGCCATCGTCGTGGTCGTCGCCAGCGTCGCCATCGTCGTCGTCGTCGTCGTCGCCGCCGTCGTCGTCGCTATCGCTGTGGTCGTCGTTGTCGTCGTTGTCGTTGTCGGCGTCGTCGGCGTCGTCGTCGCCATCGTCGTGGTCGTCGCCGTCGTCGCCATCGTCGTGGTCGTCGCCGTCGTCGCCATCGTCGTCGTCGTCGTCGCCGTCGTCGTCGCTATCGCTGTGGTCGTCGTCGCTATCGCTGTGATCGTCGTCGTCGTCGTGGTCGTCATCGTCGTCGTCATCGGCGTCGTCGCCATCGTCGTGGTCGTTGCCATCGTCGTCGCCGCCGCCGCCGCCGCTGCCGCCGACGTCGTCCTAGTCGTCCTAGTCGTCGCCGTCGTCCTAGTCGTCGTCGTCGTCGTCGTCGGCTTCGTCGGCGTCGTCGCCATCGTCGTGTTCTTCGCCGACGTCGCCATCGTCGTGGTCGTCGCCGTCGTCGTTGTCGTCGGCGTCGTCGGCGTCGTCGTCGTCGCCATCGTCGTGGTCGTCGCCGTCGACGTCGTCGTCGTCGTCGCCGCCGTCGTCGTCGTCGCTATCGCTGTGGTCGTCGTCGCTATCGCTGTGGTCGTCGCCGTCGTCGTGGTCGTGGTCGTCGTCGTCATCGTCGTCGTCGCCATCGTCGTGGTCGTCGCCGTCGTCGTCGCCGCCGCCGCTGCCGCCGAAGTCGCCATCGTCGTGGTCGTCGTCGTCGTCGTCGTCGTCGTCGTCGTCGTCGTCGTCGTCGTCATCGGCGTCGCCGTCGTCGTCGCCGTTGCCATTGTCATGGTCGTCGCCGACGTCGGCGCCATTGTCGTCGCCGCCGCCGCCGACGTCGCCGACGTCGTCGGCGGCGGCGCGGCGGAGGAGCCGGCCCCTCACCAGCAGCGGGCACGGCCAGCATTCCGCCCGCGCAGCGGCGGCGGGGAGGCCCTCCGCGCATGTCCAGGGGCGGGCCGCGGCGTGGGCCGCGGCGGGCGTCGCGGCCGGCGTCGCCTCGTCCACCTGAGGACGACGAAGACGAGGGCGAGGGCCCTGGCGACGAGGGGCAGGACGACGACGACGACGAAGACGAGGATGAGGACGAGGACGACGACGAGGACGAGGACGAGGACGAGGACGAGGACGACGACGACGACGACGACGACGGCCACGACGACGACGTCGACGTCGACGACGACGACGACGACGACGACGACGACGACGACGACGACGGCGACGACGACGGCGACGACGACGACGAGAACGACGACGACGACAAGGACGAGGACGACCTCAGAGGCCCAAACAGCTCGATTCGGGACCGTCGGCTTCGAGCCCTCCGCTGGGCATCGTTGGACCGATGCCTGTCCCCACTGGCGCGGCCTGGGCCCCACTGGCCGATACTTGCCCCCCATCAAACAGGATATGGCCTATTCCCTTAGGGCTTCGGGGGGCCCACAGTAGGGGCCCGACCACATGAAACCTTCCACGAGAAACCTAACCCTGCGTGGCGTCTTCGGTCTGTGCCGAGATGAGCTGCGGAGAGGGAGCGGGACAGTGGATGGACAAAAAAGTGGAACCTTTGACACCACGCACCCCCCCGAATTTCAAAGTTGGCCTCAAGCATTCGGCAGCACAGGCGTGAGAGTACAAAAAGAGTGGAACCCCCAGGGCCTCCTGGAGGCCGAAGCCAACTTTGAAACTGGGGGGAGGGAGGGGTGAACGCGAGGTCGAAGACGAATGGGAATCCACTTTCTTGTCCCCTTACAGTAGGGGCCCGACCACAAGAAACCTTCCACGAGAAACCCAACCCTGAGGCCCCAGGACGTACATGTTTTTATTAGCGTGGCCACGCTTTCAATGGCAGAACCATCGAAACCCATGAAACCCAGGGCACCCTGGAGGCAAGCAGGGTGTTTCTTGGCATGGGTCTCCACTGTATCCTCAACTGGGGTGGTGGAATGCTGGGGCTGAGATACCATTAGGTCGGGCATATAGCCCTACAGGCGGATTTTGAACGAAAAATAAAACATAGCAAAAACATACTCCAAAATGGTCAAAAAAATACAAACTCGTCCTCTGACTATTTTTTGCCTGAAGATACCATGGCCCCCACTGTACCGGAGCACGGGTCTCCACTGTACCGGAGCAGGGGGCGAGAGCTGCGGAGGACCTCGCCGACCGCCTCCCCGGGGACCGGCTTGGCACCGCGAGCCGTTCTCCGACGGCCCCGCGTCCAGCCCGACGCCGGCCCGCGGCCCCAGAGATCAGCCCATCCCCGCGGCCACGGTGTCTTTAAGTCGAGCGTGTCCCTCTGCACGGCGAAGAGAGCAAGGTCGAGATCGAGTGAGCGACGATGCGAAACGGGTCTTACGCGAGATGACGTAGCGACCTTACGCGGTCGCTTACGCGGGCCGCCGGCGCGGCACGCAACTTCGGAGAAGAAGGCGCTTACGCGCGACCTTACGCGGGCAGCTTAGGCGCTAATGTCGGCACACACGACCCCGCTTTCTTGCGTCGCTTAAATGATACTTGGCTTGTGGGAGGCCGCGACTCAATCAGAGGTCGCTCCGCCTCGTCCACGGAGGGGAGAAGGCAACCCTCCAGCGCGCGCGCACGGCCGACCTAGCGCGTGCAGCCGCAGAGCACTTTTGCGGCCAGGAGCTGGTGCTTAGCGTGCCAAGGTGGCGGCCCCGGCGACACGCTGTGCCCTGCAGGCGGATAGCGTGCCGCTCCATTCCGCGGGGCGGGATGCTGGGAACAACTCGAGACGTCGACGCTTGGGAATGGAGACGTGGACAGCGTGTTACGCCGAAGCGTGGTGGACCAGAACCTGCGGTGCGACACGGTCAGCCAAAGCTCCTGACCACATATTGCACGAGAGCTGCTCCTCTTCTTTCCCCTCCACTTCTGGACGCTCTAGAGAACCGAAAGCCCCGAGTGTGGATGTCCAACGTCCATGTTCGATGAGAGAAGCACTGAGAATGGAAGAGCAAACTCCAGAATGGAAGCCAATCATCCATTTGGGAGGTTTTTGTTCCTCCAGGCCGGTTCCCTCCGTCCTGAAGGCATCTCTTCTCCACTCTGGATTGTTCCGTTGCCTTCATCCGTTTGTGGAGCATCCTAGAAGTATGAAAAGCCTCCAGGGGGATACTTCAGCCCAGCCAGCGCCCGCGCATGGCATATACTCACTCATTTGGCGCGGCGCCTCCGGAAAGGCTGTCCTGCCATGTCACGCCGTCGACGTCGCCGTGTCTGTCGCCTTTGCCGTTGCCTTTACCGTCGCTGTCACCGTGGCCGTCGATGTCGTCGCCGCCGTCGTCGTCATCGTCGTCATCGTCATCGCCGCCGTCGTCGTCGCCACCGTCGCAGCCGCCGCCGCCGCCGCCGCCGCCTCCATCGTCATTGTCGTCGTCGGCGTCGTCGTTATCGTCGTTGCCAGAGACGTCAAAGTCGGCGTCTTCGTCGGGAGGGCCAGCGTCGGAAGGGTTGTTTCTACGAGGGGCCAAGGAGGTTCAGGGTAAGGAAGGGCAGATGAGGCGGACGAGTGAGGAAGACGAGTGAGGCAGAAGAGGAGGGGTGAATGGGGCGGGAGGAGGAGCCGCACCCCTAGGAGAGAACGGGTTCTTCGAGCAAACGCGATTTTTGTGCGAGGGTCTGAAGGAGTATCGGGACCAAGACCTACCCATTCATCCTGCAGAGGCTTGCGCGGAGACCTATACGATTCGTCAGCATCGGAAAAAGGCTCGCGACATCATGCACCGCGCGGCAGACTGAACCTGTAAGCAGTGGTACCAGCAAAAAATCAAATTATCGAGCAACGTGCCGACCTGGGGGAAGGGTGGAAGGAGCAATGTTAGATGCTCGTTCAGGCAACCTTCCTGGAGCCACTCGCGCCACTCATGCGTCGATGCTGCGTCGAACTTCCACCGACATGGGTCGAGCTCGAGTCGAGCTTGGAAAGCACCAGAATCCAACCAGAGTCGAACAACTCCGTCAGGTGGGCCCCGAGAAGGTCCCCCGAAGCGAGCATCTAAACAATGGGACGTACCACGGGCGGAATGCCTGAGACCGCCTGGCCGCAAAGGCCTGGACGATCGTGATCGTCCGGCCGTCCCACGCCGGGCGAAGCGCGGTCCGACGAGAGGGATTACCCGCTCTCTCTCTCTGGCCCGCTGTGAGATCCACCTTGCTCGCAGAGGCAGGGATGTGAATCATAAACAGGTTCTGCATGCCTCACCGTCGCAAGCTCGAGTTCGACAGTGGCTGGGGGCGCCAACCATTCAAGCATGATCTACAAGTCTGTTGTTTGAGATATTGTTTGAGATACCCCACGAGACCCAAGGAAGCATCCAAGATCCAAGGGGTCTCTGGCCCACACAGGTCCGCGAGATCTCCAAATGATGTCACGCTCCGCTGTTCAGGACAGGCACCGTGTCTGGATGGGCTGGTGGGCTGGGGGGGGGGGTACTTTTGATCGCGAGTGTCGCGGAACCAACCGCGCACCGTCGGGGGGGGGGGTACGCGAAGCGTAAGAATTTCACAGACAGCAGCGGCATGTGGCAAATGAGCAGAACGTTGACTGGTCGGCGATGGAGACTGTGCGTCGTCTGTCCTCGGATGCTTGTTGTCAGAGAGAAAACCAATTGTGCGAATCGCGATCCGTATTGCGAAAACTAAACCATCACCTTTGGCAGCTTGGGCAGGGTCCCAGAGTTTGGTTGCCAGCCAGAGGTGGTGAAAGATGTTCCTCATGTTCACCGTGATGCGCGATCCCCCCAAAGAACTACGATGGCCATGACCCACAAAAACAGACGTGAATCTGATGTACGATAGTTTGGACAAGATGTAGCGAGGCTCGGCTGTACGTGTTTCGATGCACCATGTTGGTGAAGGTCACCACCTCGTCGTCGTACCTGTTAATCCGCATTCGGCACTGCCTGCCCGAGCGCAGCTGCTGCGCCAGCCAGAGAAGCCTCGCTGACAACACCAGCCAGGCAAGGAGGGAAGCAGAGACTGCCGCAGGTGCGGCGGGTTGGCCCGTGGGACAAACCAATGTTTGCCCCGATGGCTGGATCGAGACGGAGGAGGAGGAGGAGGAGGAGGAGGAGGAGGAGGAGGAGGAAGTGGAGCGAGGAGGAGGGGGAGGACGACGACGACGATGACGAGAAGGAGGACGAGAAGGAGGAGGAGGAGGAGGAGGAGGAAGCTGAGGAGGAGGATGAGGAGGAGGAGGAAGCTGAGGAGGAGGAGGAGGAGGAGGAAGAGCAGGAGGAGCAGAGGAGGAGGAGGAGGAGGAGGAGGAGGAGGAGGAGAGGGGAGGAGGAAGAGAGGGGCATCACTTCTCGCTGCCGCGGAGGTTGCTGAGGATCATGGTCCAGGCCAGGCTGATGCCGTGGTTCAAGGGCAAGCGCAGCCAGATCGGAGCGGCGTACACGAACAGGTCCCCCGGGACCCACAACAACCAGATGTGCAGGTTGTCACTGACGCAGTTCCTCCAGTACTTCGTGAGGCCCCTCTCGACCAGGCCTGTGTCCATGGAGCCGTCGCCCTGCATCACCTCCTTCATCGTGTAGAACACAGGAAAATACATGAAGGGGCTGTGAATGAAGTTGTCGTAGCACGTCTGCTTCACCAAGTCGAGTTGCCCTCCGCGGTCTTTGAGCTTGTCCTTCCAGGGCAAGTTGGCGAACCGGTTGGCGTTTGGGCATAAGCGCGTGAAGACGGTAACGTAGATGAACCACTGCACGATGCCGAGGTAGGCGAACCCAAACCCGGTGAAGACGGCGTTCCTGTTCCAGTCGATGTTCCTCTTCCCCTCCGCCCTCTGCACGATGAAGTCCGCCAGCGACGTCTTGACGGTGGCCACTATGATGTTGAGGGGCAACGATAGGGGGGCACTGGCTTAAGGGGGGAACCATCGAGCTGGAATCGGCGATGCATCGCCGATAGATCGGCGATAGGCTCCCGATAGCGGGCCTGCAAGCACGCTCCTGGACATGGTGGGCCATCAGCCCCCTATC